ATAGTCCCATTGCTCACAGTCACAAGGGTTTTCCCTGCCACTACTTGTTTTCTATTTTCGTCCTGGAGGTCATTGTTGGGACATATCACAGAATTTGGTTCTAAAAATCGTGTTGGAAGACGGATATCCGAAATTTCTTATATCATTTACCCGTGAAAAAGCGGGATAATGCAACCCTAAAATGCAGTCGTATATATATAACTTATCGTTCACTTTGCTTAACCACTCGGCTTGAAGAAGAGAAGATTCAGTTAATCTGCTCTGTGCACGCGCATGTGCATCTGTGCGCTGGCTACAGTACACAATACGGTATCCTCACGGTTACCATTCCTGCGTTCCAAAACAAAGGACCATATACTGATTTTCTTACGAAGAACCAAACTTCTGTCACCACTTTAGATTTCGATTCCTTTTCTTTTTGAGCTTATCTGATGCCTCAACAAGAATGCAGCCAAAAAGACAACTTCAGGTATGTTGAAATACTTCCGTTGTTGATTCGGGAGACAGTCGAAGCACAGAATTCCTTTTGAGTATCCCTTCTAAATTGCCCACGATGAAATCAACCACTGTTCGGAAGATTTGATCATAACCGATTGATCAATGTACTTATTCTTCTTGACCAGCTGATTACAGCTATATGATCCCTGTATCATCACAATCTTTTTATGAATCCTCACTTTTGTTGCCGCCCCGTTATCGTGTATTGAATTAGAAATTTCAGGATAAATAATCGAAGAAAAACTTCAAAACTCACTGTGAGTTTGATGTCCTTTCAAAGCTGCTGCGTAACTCTAACGTATGACGTTCGACAAGCCAGCTACAGTAAGCCATATCGCTACTTCTTAAACAGCTGTAAACAGTTGTTCAATAGCGTTGAATGCTTTTGGTTTTCAAAGTATAAAAAGGTGAACAGTTTAAACATACGTGTGGGTATTATTTCTGACATTAACCAATGGAGAAGGATGTCTTGTAATGAACGTGTATGGTCTCTCCATTTGTTGCATAAAGTGTAAGAGACGGTTAAAACGAGTTTATCCGGTAGGATAAAATCAACTTTGCCCAAAGCGTAGTAGTATAGCAATATGGACTAATCGCTGATCATAAATATGTTCATGAAAGCTTGATATCCGTTCATTGTCTGGGTTCATCCATTGGAATGCATAAATATAACCCCGTTCTTAGTGTTAAATGTTCGACATTCCTAATGTTGCATATCTCATCGTTCCACTTCGATTGCTTTAACCAAAAGTTTCGCCAGTTGATGAGCGTATCGCCAACCATTCCTTACTGTTCTCATAGCATGCCTATTGTCCGATTTTTATCGAACATCAGGGTCTCAGCTACCATGACATTCGTTTGACGGTTGTGTAGCAATAAAGGAAATGTCCTCTACTGCAACCATTTAATTGCTAGTCCTCACCGGGGTCGTTTCAGAGCTGGCCAAATTTACGGCGAATTTATCTACGGTAAAATAAGCTATTACATCAGAAACACCCACTCGCAACTTTCAGCATGAACTTGCTGCGTATACTTAGAAAACTAGACAGTATTCATAAGATGCGAGTTATGTAGGCCTGGGTGTGTTGATAATGTGGTTTTATGCACGATACTCGTGGTTTGCCAGCGATTTACCTTTATGGTATCTATACTCTATGTATCAATGAAGGTGAAAAGAACCGGCGGCGATGGTTTTCCTGCCCGACCACGTGGCGATTTCAAATGTTAATTTCTGGTAGTTCTTGTTTCTTGTAACTCGAATATACTGTGTCCATATTAGAATATTCTCACACGGACTTTTACCGAACTTGGTAATTATGATACATTTTTTCTTGAACCCTACCGAGGCTCTTTGGACGATGACACTAAGTCTGATAGCGAAAAATTCTCCAGTGCATTCGTTTTCCGTTTGAGCTACCACAAATAAGTGGTCATCAAACTAGGTTGCGCATAGGTCGCGAGTGTGAGTGATACGATTAATAATTCTTCCTTGCGAAAACCAGAAGTGTATCATTTTGTGACCACCATTTAGCATACTTCCACGAACTCGATGCAAAAGCCGGTTTAAAACGTGTTCAATGATATCTAGTATCTGATCGATTGGTTGGCGTTTGCTACTTGCGTAAAGACTGATTGAGATAACTGTGTATGGAATGGCTAAAAAGGACCATGGTCATTACTTTTTTCTTTGAAAATACAATGTGGTGCAATGTTTTGTGAGTGTTCTTCTGGTTCTTTTAATATTTGCAATGACAGAACATCCGACTGAATTACTTTCCTGCTTCCCCGTATTTAGCCGGCTAATATCCTTCTGGACGAGTACGGTCACGTCCGTATTAGTGATCTTGGACTGGCGTGTGACTTTTCGCGACGCAAACCTCATGCCAGTGTGGGTACTCATGGTTACATGGCACCAGAGGTCCTGCAAAAGGGCTGCCCGTACGATTCGTCCGCGGATTGGTTTTCTCTGGGCTGCATGCTGTACAAACTTCTTCGAGGTCACAGTCCATTCCGACATCACAAAACAAAAGACAAGCACGAGATCGATCGAATGACAATGACCATGGTGAGCGGTTAGGGAGGGCATGTATTCAAACTATTTTTTTATCATAGAGTTTTATCCTGCATCCTGTTAACACTTCATACATCGGTTTTACTTTCAAAATATTTCCATCACATTTCAACAGACAATGATGCTCCCCTAAGTCCCCGCGCTGTGGGTATTCAAGCTCATCACGATGAGACTGCCTCTTGACGTGGTGTGATGGCTTGCGTGCCTCCATGATCCTGCGAGCTATACAGGATGGCTCCTTACAGCCGCAGATCCAATCGTGACTGAAACGTCAATGGGTAGAGGCCAAAAGAGGCTCAGTCTCACAATGCTGCTTGGGTACCTCATGGCCCCCTTGACTATCCACTCTCGCCCCTGGAGAGGTCAGTCCAGCAAATAAACACGGAGACGGGCAGTTTGCTGATCAACCCCCCCCTGCTAGATGCAGGAGCAGAGTACTTGGGGCTTCCTCCTGGCGGTGGGAGAAGTTTTCGCACTTGATTGGATAGCTACCGCCCGCCCAAGCTGGGCAGCCCCCAGCCAGTAGGCTGTCTCGTCCACTTTCCCCTTCTCATAGAATGCATGAAACAAAGGGTCAATCCTCAACAGCTGACTGACGATCAACGCACCAGCGAACAACACACACCACAATCTGGGTCAGACTGTTGAGTAGAATGCTCCGATTAGGGTTCCCCAAGGAAAATCCCTTCGTCAGTGTTAGCTAAAGCGAAATATGTCGTGCCCCAAAGTCTTAGATACCCATTTGGAAAAACATGATTTGCAAATCATGGAACGTTTTTTGTTTTATAAAGATTGCTGTACCATGATTGGTTGGGCACAGTCTGGCGTCAGACGTGTGTGAATTATATATATATATCCCCGGTTGGGGATCTCGGGATCAAACTGATGGTGGTTAGGGACATGGGGTGATGTGGTTGTGTCATAAACAGTGATACTCTTGCTTCTACCTATTTTTATCGCCGATTCATCCCACCTAGATTCTATGTGCATACCTTGGTACTGCTCCCATCTTTCTATTTCTTCGATCTATTTCTTCATTCAAATGGGCATTTAATAGACCGCAACTAAAACTGTCGTCTGAGCATGCGAGGTTAAGGTTTAAGTCAACTGAAGTTCAGCTTTTTGAATTGATGTTACTCTGCAGCGTGCTCTCCAATTCGGTATTTGATGTTTATTCTATTCATGTCGTCACAGCATTCGAC